GCAAATATGGTAACATTAGTCTTTTAAAAACACTGCTATTTGGGTATAGATTAAAAAAAAATCCTTGCATTTGATATAGCATCTTATTACGTCGCTGAGATGTCTCAAAGAGCTTCACATGATTTACTGTAAAGTGGAGTGACTGTGTATTTGTGGGTGAACACAGCAGCTAATTTGCACAATGTTTCACAATAGTGATGGAGAGAGCAACCAATTTTAATTTGGTGGATTGTCAGCCAGATCGCCTTTCTCTTTTCAAGTAGTGCCGTGGGATCTTTAACGTCCACCTGAACAGGCAGAATGGATTTATTTTATTTATGTTAGCTTCTTAGAGCGTACTGAATTTGGCAAATTACTGAATTTCGTCTTAACTTTGAATTCTATTTCCTGTGTTCTTAAAGGAACTTAAATAAAACTGACTTCAAAGTTAAGGCTGTATTTAAAAGAATCTGCCAAATTCCGAATGCTCTAAAATACTACATAAATAAGAATAAATCTAGGTCCTGGTGGAATTTCTCCCCATTGCATTTTTTATTGGGTTAAATTTAATCTCTTTTCTGCAAAACCCATTTCTTAAAGATTACCATAAAAAATACTATGAAAACTTGGGAGAGCTATTTGCTGTCTCTCCAGTGAGTGCAAGGCAGCCAACTGGCCTCCACACTGAGCTCACCAGCTGCTATAGGATCACATCCCTGCAAAGAAATCCAGGATTAAGAAGCGTGCAGCCGTCATCTGCAAGTGTTAAGTCCCCATAGAAAAAAGCTTTCATGTGGTCTCCTTCTTTATAACAAGACTGCAAGATCAATTGCTTTTATATAGCACCATTTAAGTAAAAGAAAGTCTCAAAGCCCTTAACGAATGGCAGAAGTGCACCGAGCAAGAAGTGGAAACAAATTAGAAACAACTTAATTTTGGGTTGACAAATTAGTGTCCTATTTTGTAAAACCATTTGTCTTCAGGTTTAAGATTGCGCGGAATTGTAGAAAATTCTTAAATTCTGTCTTCTTCTACATTTAAAAAAATAAGACTAAAGTTAAGTATTTTTCCCGATTTTACCTAATATTGCATTTTAGTGTTCAATATGTCAGTACCCTCAAAAGCAGGCTGCATTTCATAGGAAATGGTAAAAATGCCTTGACACCAGGCTGTTTGATGGATAGCATTTAAAAAAATCTGAACTGAATCTTCGTAATATTTTTAGACTCAGAATGACAATTTTGCATAAAGATTGTCGGGAAAAAATCCATTCATTGTGAACAGCGGGGTTCATTATGTGCTATGTTGAAACGCACTGAATGCAGGTGCAGAGGACAAGATAGGACTCATCATTCTGGACTGTCCCAATGGTAATCACTGAGCTGTGGTAAAGAGCAGGCAGGAATGCTACCTGTATAAGATGCATTGTTTCTAAATGTTTACAGAGGGACTGACTCACAGCCTTTAATCAACAACCAATTAAAATGGTTTATTAACTATGCAATTAAGGATTGACCCCTTTCATTAGTTATTAAGGACATAATTAACGGCATCTGTAATTCCCTCTGCAACATGTGTTTTCACAAAACACGTACTACACCTGCATTTACACTCGGTATTTACTTGGCACATAACAGATCCCATTAATGGTATCTTGATATCTCTTCTCTTGTTGTATTATAATCTGAAGCAAATTGCCCCAGCAATGCTCATGAGTTTATAAAGCAGAAAATACTGTAGTCAGATTTTGGAAGCTGCAAAGAATTGAGCACTGAAAGCGTTAGCACTCTTTGAGCAAACAACTCCAACCTTATTGTCCAAGGAACACAAAAATGCTCAATAGATGGGAGCTAAACTTAAGATGTGATAGAGAACTTACAGCCTCTCCACCCATATAAAATCCTCTTCAAAGTCAGTTAGCTGACTTTTATGGGAGTCTAGCTCTTCGCTCCTAATTTACTAGTACGCTTTGAACACAACCCTGGCAGACTAGACATATTTTTGTTTCACTTGTGCTCATTCCACAAGTATTCTCATGACAGAAAAATAGCTCCCCGTTTGCTTTATGCTGCTGAAAACCGAGATAAAAGACGGCAATCCTTTCACAAAACTTATTACTCATGGTTATTTAGCTTTCAGCATCGTAAGTAACAAGCCCCATTAGCCCTCCCTTTGTTCTATGCTTTCTTGCGCATCTGACATTTGAAACATTGCATCTTATACAGGTAGCATTCCTGCCTACTCTTTACCACAGCTCAGTGATTACCACAGGGACGGTCCACAATGATGAGGCCTATCTTGACCTCTGCAACTGCATTCAGTGCGTTTCAAATATTTGTGCTAACAAAGAGAATCACCAGCCCAGAAAATGTACTGGCTTGTTATCCCAAGATGCTTCAAAATCATTATAAATTAGTGCTTGTCAGATGGCAAAGATAACTTTAAATGTAAACTTCACTCTGGCTGGTTTCAGATGAATGTGATCTCAGTGTGAATGGATTTCAATTGTTGCAACATAAACGCAAAGATAACTTTCTTTTGGGGTGCAACAAGAACGACACAGTCCTCTCGTAAAACTCAACAACTAATAGTGAATGTAAGGGAACAGAAACATTTATTTATAAGACCCTGTCAATATGAATAGTTTCGATGACTGAGATTTGATGTTTTTTCTCCCCGTTATTGCTAATTGAGCAGCGATGATGAAATGAAGTAAACTGTTGAGATACTGATAAGTGACTGAGCTACTTTTCCAGTGATCACAAGACCATTAGAGAATAATCACCAACTTTTAAAGAAATATAGACCAAATTGATACCCCAATGCAATACGAGGGCAGAGCTGTAAAGGGAGTTGAAGCATTGAATGAGATAGGGAGAAGGTTGTAGGACTTTCCTCTCTGACTTATTCAGGTGGACGTTGAAGATCTCATGTCATTATTTAAAAGAGAAGAGAGATTAATTGGTTGTTCATTTATGGCTGTTTGCTGCACCTTGCATTGCACAAAATGGCTGCTGGGTTTGCCTACAAAACAATTCCTTCACCTGACAGTAATTATGGTGAAGCATTTTTAGATGTTTCAACTGGATAAAGCACTATAAAAACGCAAATTCTTTCTTCCTTTCGAAGTCACTAAATATTACCATTACTACATGGTGACAGTTAAAAGACCACTGTCTGCTTTCTTCATTTCTAAAACTGGCTTAAGCCTGGCGACCTATTTATAGTTGAAAAGCCTGAAAGGTCTCTCGCTGCTACAGTTCGTGTCACAATCCAACAAAGCCTCTGGTATCAGAAACTGCCAGCAAGTGACCTGGATCTGAATGAGAGCTTTCACAAAACCGGCAGTGAGATCTCTTTGCTGAGAGGTGACGATGCAGTTAGCTTTTCGCGTTCCAGGGGCAGGACTTTTATTGCAGACGCACTGTCAATCTAACAATGATGGTGCTGAATCCCACACCACACACAGCCATATTGGAAATAGCCAAAAGCTTGAGATCAGGGTGCTGTTGAGGAATGTCCATTTTTCTCCAATAGGAGACTGCCTGATTTCCCTTGTAAACCATTCCCCTAACCACCCTCTCTGTTCATCTCACGATTCGTGCAAATAAAATATAATTTATTTTAGTTTCCAATTCTGTTTACTGGGGAACCTCATTATAACGTGTTCACTGGTCCAACATCTCATAATAAGTGAAACATGAAAAGGGCCTGCCCTCTTGAGTTGTCAGGTTGCTGCTGAAATCCCTTCTTGTGAGTTGCCCCAATCCGCAGGAAGCACCACAAACATCACTTCCTCGTCCGCAAGAAGAAAGCAGAAATGTCTTTTTAGAGCTAAGAGCATACTGATACATTTGTTCCTTTAAATTTGAATCAGTAAATAATTTCAGCAGAGTCCTTCCTCTGAATTTACAATGTGAACTGCAATCAGGTTTGTCTGAAACTTATTAAAGCACTTCGTAAACTATTTAAATTGCGCTTTTATAGTGTGTGTCTTTCTTTTTACAAAATCAACACGGCACTCCCGAGTCTTTGTTGACCTCAGAAGACACTCGCAACCAGGAGAGATTCCTGGAAAATGCAATCTTAACTAAAACGTGTTTCATTCTTACAGCATTCTTATGCCATCTATCTTTCCCTCCCAGAAACCCAAATTAAATTTCTAAAAATGTTATTGTGTCACTCAGAGGCACTTATCTCTCTGCAAGATTTCCTCCCACAGCCCAGAGCTTCTTGGCTAATGACTCACTGTTATAGAGTGCTGGACCAAGTCTTGCAAAGATACTCACTCTTACTGGCAATGTAAGTCCTTCCCAAGTGTCATAAAATTATTGCTCTGTATTATCCATAAGGTTCTAGCTCGCCAAATAGCTACAATGCAGTAATTAAAAATCAAATGAAAAATCACAGTCATCAATTAATTTGGCTCAGATGGAGATGGTGCTTTTTTCATGGGTGTTGAAGCACATTTTTTCCTCAAGGTGAAATCAGTGTTGTTGCAAACCTTTGAGTTCACTGTTGTCATTATATTATTTTTAAATGCTAACATTTGATTTTAGTTTCTGTCTTATTCTTTTGATGGTACAGAAACAGCTTTAATGCAGAACAACAATGTCTCTTTATTTCAGGAGTCTTACTCACTCAACCCACCCCTGAATCAAGAGCTTTTTTAGTCACGAGTATAAAAAATGTAATATTAATTAGTCTTTGCGGGTAATAATGCTTCTGCATTTTCCATACTGTTGTCTGCATAGAATCTGCTAGTGCCATAACAACCCAAGCTACACACAGGTGAAAAGCGAGGATGATAGATTAGATCCTCATCAATCAAAGTACCGGGGTTTAGCAGGAACTATTTTATCTCAGTGTCCTCCGAACCACATTCAAAGACAGAGTTGTTCAAACAAACTATCTTTATAGGAGGCCCAACTGTGATAAGTAAGATTCTTTCAAAAGGAAATGGTTAGTTTTGAGCAGTATGTGGCAGACAGACAATATGCTGAAGGCAGGAGGTGGCTTACCTGGGCAGCTCTGGCTTCAGGTTTCGTTTCCTTCCGCTGGCCAATGATGGTCTTTAGCTGAAATCAGATAACAGTGCTTAATACGGTAAAACTCGCATACGTCTGATCTGTATATATCATACAATCGCCAAAGTGGTACATCTGCCCAAGTCCCATTCAAGAGTTTACAATCTATGCAAGTTTGACACAACTCATACTTTGCATAAGTCATATTAAATGTATGGTCCCAACTGTTATGACTTATGGAAGGTTTACTGTATTTTAAAATTCTAAATCACTGTACTTCTACAAACCATTGAAGTGAACTTGTGCACTCTATTTGCTAAGCAGGTGAAGTCAAAGGTATAATTTAGAATTGAGATTTTTCAGACACACAAATTACTGCATATAAATTCATCAGGAGAATATAAATCAGATCTGTGCATATGGTGCAGCTGAAAGTAATATCTCATTACTTCTCCCACCTTCATTAACAGCTCAATGAAACATCAAGATCCCATCTAAATATTCGCTAATGGCATGGCATTTGCATTTACCTGGATATAAAGTTTATTTACTTGAATATGAAGGGTACCGAATCTGACTACCGTCTATATTTCAGACACTATAAAATAGCTATTCAGGACTTACAGTGAAATCTTGCCACATATTTTTAAGAGACTAACATTACAAGTTAAAAACTAGAAGCTAAAACAGATACAGTTGTGCATTAATCCAAGGACTTGGATTCTAAAAGCGATGGACTAAGTTGGAAATGGGGCATGTACCACACACACCAGCTTCCTGGTCTCAGCTGCCTGAGGATGTATCAAATAGATGCAAGGTGAGGAAGGAACAAAGCGAGGCAGACTGAGCCCACAGTACTCAGCCACTGATTGCTTCAAAAGGCAGCACAGGAAAAGAAAATTCCTTTTAATCAAGGAACAGCGTGCAGCACGGCAGGAGAAAATAACTTAACAAAAATAGGTTAAAAAAACACAGATTCACTGCGCCTGAATATAATCAAGGCCCAGTGGCTGTGCTCAAGTGGTTTGAACCATGCCAAGATGCTGTTATACATTGCGATGCACAGTCTACGAGGGAAAATTTAATGAGATGGGCTTGAATTGGCTTACACTGTAATTAGAACCGAGCCTTAGGCATCTACATTTCAAATGCACCAGTCTAGAGATAAAACAGAAAAAAAACTGCAGATGCTAGAAATCTAAAATAAAAACAGAAAATCTTAAGAATTGTACAGCTGGCTAGTGAGTATCCGTCAGAGAAAACGACAGGTTAATGTTTTTGATATGACCCTTCATTAGGACAGATTTCTGTTTTTATTCCAATCTGACCACCACCAATAACAACAACAGAATTACATTTGTAAAGTGCCTTTCACATCGGGAGGACGTCCCAAGGCGCTGTACAGATAAGGTTTCGGACCCGAGCTGGGGGTCGGGGTTGGGGAAGGTGGAGGGCAGTGGGGGGAAGCAGGGTGATCGAAGGCATGGATGAAAAGGAGGGTCTTGAAGGAGGCAAGGGAGGGATCGAAGTGGAGGGACTGCAAGAAGAAGTTCCAGAGGGTGGGGGCAGAGTGGCAGAAGGCCCACCCGCCAATAGTGGGGCAAGCAAGGCAGGGGACGGAGGCTGCTGAGCGGAGGGAGCAAGCAGGATGGTAGGGATTACGTGGTCGCAGAGGTAGGGGGGGAGCAAGACCATGGAGGGCTTTGAAGGTGAAGACCAGGATCTTGACCACTAATGGTAGCAAGATTTTCAAGACTCCCAGCCTAGTGCACTTTGATTTTTACTGATAAACCAATGACGTCGCAGGGCATCCAATGTGTAGGCAATGGCATTGCTTCTAATAAAGTTACTGCTATTACACTCATCTTGTTCATGTATATTGAGCTCATAATGATTGTTTGGAGACATGCGGTCCTTTGCAATTAGCGTTTTTACAATTAGTCATATGGGAAGAAATATATGCATTATAGCATACTTTATAGCATACTTTAAATTGGTCATTCCATGGTTGTTTGTGGATCATTGCTGTGAGCAAATTGGCTGTCACGTTTGCCCACAAACCACACAGTCACTGATTGCACTTTACAGAATATCCTCTTAGTGCTTTGGGACATTCTCCCGCCGTGAAAGGCGCTATAACAAATATAAGAAATATTATTATTATACCTATACTTTAGAGACAATATTTTAATAGAAAAGACAAAGCGGATTTGACAAAAGCGTAGTCATATCCTGTTTGGTTAAATTTCAGTGCTCAACCTCAAAAAAGCTTTTTAAGATAATAATTAACTTAGCATCCCATGAACCGTAAATTGCACACAAAATAATTTACAATACAAAATGCTTGGGTAAAAAGAATAAAATGGGATGGGAAGGACAGCACCTTATTTGGGAAAAAAACCCTCTGGTTTTAAAGGTCATAAGTGAACTTTCCAAAAGATCAGTCGAAAGAGGAATCTATCATTGCCTCAATAACCCTGAACTGCGGTTTCCCTTTTCAGTGATAAATATAGAAATGCTTATTGACGTGCCTGCCAGTGAAGGCAAATGGTAAAAAAAATCATAGCAATATCCAACTGGAAATGACATTATAAAGTGTTTATGTTCTGACAACAGTTCATTCGCCAGCTCCTTTTGAATCAGGACTAAAGTCTGTTCACAAAAATCAATCACCTGATGCTTCATAACCATCATAAATAGTTCAGAGAACACTTGCAACTGTGTGTATCTAATCAGATATAACCCTTATATCACAGACACCTCTTGTGCCTGAAAAATCTTAACATTACTGATGTGGCCTTGTTTCAAAAAACTTGTGTACATCTTGTTACACAGAACAGAAACATTTACTGAAATCCAGTTCCAGATGTTTTACATACCTTTCATGGCAACTTGCACAACTCCTCATATGAGCAGCATTAATAAAAAACATGGAAGGCATTGTTAAATCAAAACAGACAATAACCATGGAAGCACAAGTGGAAACTAAGCTGATTCGGATGTATAGACATCCTATAAAATATTTGGTTAAATATCCCCCAACAACAGGTTCTTTATATTGGGTTGATTCTCTCTTTTATTACTTCTATCCTTTTAATCCAAACAGCTTTGCTTGTGCTGTTGTGCTTGCCTAAAGCATTTGAGTTTGGACAAAAGTCAAGAAAAGAGGTTCCAGTATTGCTTTTCTGGGTTTTATCAAAACCCAATTATAACTGAATAAAAGCACCACAATTTCCTTGTTGAATGAATGGAATTATTTCATCCCGATCTATCGTTTTCTTTTAAGAGTTCTTGTAAGGTTTTACTGCAACAATTCCTCTTAGTCATTCAGAACTCTGCAGCTCGTGTACTGTCCCGCACCAGGCTTCGGGACCACATCACACCCACCCTCGCTCGCCTCCACTGGCTCCCCATCCCCCAGATTGATTTCAAGATCCTCATCCTCACCTATAAGGCCATCCACGGCCTTGCTCCCTCCTACCTCTCTGACCTACTATCCCCCTACCTACCTGCCCGTACCCTCCGTTCCTCTGGCTCCGGTCTGCTCCACGTCCCCCGCCCCAACCGCCCTACCATCGGTGGTCGGGCCTTCAGCCTCTCAGCCCCGAGGCTCTGGAACTCCATCCCCCAGTGCCTTTGCATTGCCTCCTCCCTCTCCTCCTTCAAGGCCGGTCTCAAAACCTTTCTCTTTGACCGAGCCTTCAGCTCCCCTCTCGACTCTCTTCCCCTCCTCGCTCCCTCCCTTCCCTCCCCTCACCCTGACCATTTCCCCCTCCTCGCTCCCTCCCTTCCCTCCCCTCACCCTGACCATGTCCCCCTGCTCGGGTCCTGACCCAACTGTGCAGCGCCTTGGGACGTCCTCCTGACGTGAAAGGCGCTTTATAAATGGAATCTTGTTGTTGTTGTTGTTAGTGAGGGTCACGCTCTTGTCTGTCCCCGAGTAGAGGATTCAAGCCTGTAGATTGATGACATTATAAATATGACTTTCCAGTCTCTGGTGATGGGATGAATGGAGGCTGGGCCTTCCTCAAGCGAAGGAAAGTCCCTCTGGAGTCTGTGTATATCCTGTAGTATCTTTCAGAGGGACACAGATGGAAGCTTGAATGGACGTGGCATTTAAAGCAAGTCCCAGAGATTGGCATAAAGGACTGCATATTTAGACACTTTATTGCATTTTAAAATATATCTTGGTGTGTTAGCAGAGTATCTAATTCTATTGTAGTATTGTATCAAAATATTTTTGCACTATGTAATATTATTATAATTTTTATATATGTTGGTTCTGAACAAGGAGAGGTAATTAGACAAGTATTAAGGTTCAGGAAGGGTTATCACGTTTACTGCAGAGTGTGGTTCATCAGAAAGGCCTCATGGATTCAGTGTCATCCCATAATAATATCACTAATTACATCATGGCAAGATGACCATGTATTTTTGGGACATATTGAATAGATTTTAAGAAATGTATACAGAGTACTCTTGGCTTAGTGACAGTCTGTTGAGCCCTATGGATTATGGATACCCAGGCCATTGTGTACATTTAACCATAATGCCCTCCCTTCTTGGATTCAGGCCACTACATATTTCAGCTTATATCCAACATCCACATTACATAGGGCATTTGAAAAGCTCTGGTTCAGTATATTTGTCAGGCTCCAGCTTTGACCACAGCAGAGTGCTAAGTGAGCACCAGTCACTACACTCTCCTTAAATATCCCACTAGAGGTCTCTGCACCTCCACAGGGGAAGGAAATCTTGAATGTGTTATCTGCTTACACGCAAATATGTATGTACTATTTATATTATATCACATTTGGAATGGTTCACAGATAGTCAGTCGTACTTGTCTCACTTTTATGCGCACTATTTACAAATCTTGCAGCCTGGGTTCCCCTTTCCACTCCACGTCTGATTGTTACTAGAGCAGCGGATTAGTGACAGTACGGCACTTAACCTTGTAACAGCAAGGACTACTCACAACATAAAATATTTTGCCATTTACTTTAAATGGCACTTTGAAACAAGAGATGAAATGCTGGCTCCTCCACAGC